ATTTGGGGATTGCAATCGTGCACACTTCCTGCACACTTCAGTTTCTTACAATCCCGTGGGATCTGCGCAGATTTTTTAATTTATGTGTGGATCCCGCGCAGGATTGGTAGATTTCTTATGCGCGCATGATTGGTAGATTTTTTATACGCGTTATAAAAGGCAAAATGACAATTGTATTTTTCTTTCAAGTATTTCAGAAAAAATATACTAAACTTATTAAATTGATAAGATGAGGTAAATGAAGCCAAAAACACAATTCATTTGTAAATCGAAAAAATTCTTAACATTTAATGAACAAAAAAATGTTTGAGGCAAGTTTCTGTATCTAGAAACTTGCCTCGCTTTCATAGGCAGACATTTCCTGCTTCAATAATTTATCAAAGTCTAAAGAATCTAAATTTGGTATCTCCTTTACATTTCTGTACAGCTTTTCTTGTCTTTCTTTATATGATTTTAAGTAAGTATTTGGGAATTGTTAATAGAATCTACAGCTTCTTTTTCTTTGAGTTCATTTCCTTCGTCTTTATTTCTTTCAATTGTATAAACTCTTATCAATATTTTTTTTATTTCTGGACGCATAACGGCTCTCTTTGGCATTAAAAAGGTATTTTCATTTTTTTTAATTTCTTGTTCATATTTTTTAGGATTTTGTAAGTAAACCAGTAGTCCATTTAAATTCTTATTACGACGTTGTGTAAACCTCTCATGAAGTGCCGCGGCTAAATCAATGCTCAAAAGTGATGATTTCTTTTGTAATTTATCTAACATAAATTGAAAAGTTGTGACAAGGTTCACAGTGACAAGGTTCGATTCTCTTCTGCATAATAGTTCGAGACCAAGTTTTAATGGTGCCAGGTAAATAATTAAGTCAATGATTTGGGACCATTCTTGGGTGAAACAAATTTCTGACCCAACATCAATTAAGGCTTTTTCAATACACACTTTTAGCCTATGAAGTTATTCTAACATATTGAACATACTGTCGAACGTTTTACAATTAAGAATCAACTTAAGCTATTCGCAGTGTTCATGTAGGATATACTTCTGTAATTATGTATCATTTTTGACGGGAGAGTTTTTAAATATTTTCACAACCTTTCTTATATTTTTCATGAGATCTTTGTAATTGCTAACCAATTTAGCAGATAGTCGGTCCAAAATTATTGTCAAAACATATTCTTTATTTATAACTTCATCATCATCAGTGTTCTCATGTTCATCTTCTTCTTCGCAATTTTCATTTGTAGTAAACGATTCTTCGACTTCTCCGTTGTTTTCTCTATTTTTTGATGTCCATTCTTCAAACGTTATTGAAAACTTTTGATTTTGCTTTTTTAGTGATATAAGTTTTTGCATTATATCGGCTTTTACAGAATCTGAGAATTTTACTACCATTGATTTAATAGTATTAGAGCCGGAAACCACTCTTTGAAAACAAATACCGCAAATCTGAAGATGTGCAAAAACTATTAAATGTAAAGCAAACTTAAGCAACCATGCGTGATTTTATTTTTTCCATCGAAATTTCTTTTACGAAAAACGTGTCTATTGTTCTGACCTTTTTTGATAGAATTATTTCTTCGTCTTCGCAGTCAATGTATATTTTAGTGCAACTGATTCATGCTGTTTTGAAGTTGAAGCTATGTCTTGTTGTAAAACGTTTTGATTTTAAATTGGTGCCATGTTTAGTTTTAAATAAATTAGTACCCCTTTTGTTGATCTTTGACTAATCTTTAAAATAGCCGAACATATTTTACTTCGCATTTTCTTCTTTATCACTTTTTTAAAAATAATTCCAAATAGTTTTAATTTGCGACATGCTTAGTAGGTACTTTTGTTTTAAAATCTTGATGTAAATAATTTTTGAAGTCTTTTTAAAAAGTAGTGCGCTATATTTTTTATTATCATGCACTCACGTTTTCAATTTCACGTTTTCAACATACTCATCAACAAATATTTCAATATACTCATTAGCAAAATTTTCAACATAATCATTAACACAACAAAAAAAATTTGAACAAGTTTCTCAGTGTACATTTTATTGTGCATTTTATGACCAGTAAACTTTTGAATGGATTTGTTACGCCAATACTATAAATACTTTAATTTGATATCTTTTTCGTCTTTTTTCTTTAAAGAATTGCTTTTTTTTTTATTTATAAGCAATAATTTCAAAACTCAGCAAATCCTGCGGGTCTCGTAGTAGTTTTTGCAGGATCTCGCATGCGCTAAAATAATGTGGGATCCTGCAGGAATGTCGGGATCCCGAAATGTTGGATTGCAATCTTTAGCCAAGTTGTCAAAAAAATATTATATGAGTGGTCAAATAAGACATAAAATTAGGAAATGTATATAAAGTATGCTCATAAGTGTAGAAGGGGGTATGCAAATAGTGACATAAACATATAGGGGGAGGGTTAAGTTTTTTTTTTTATTTTTTTATTTGCATTCACTCCCAACAAGGCTGCAAGCAACCACTATTAAGTTGGGATTTACTAGGAAAAAAAAGAACAGAGTTATAGAGCAAGGAACGGTTGACAGAAGACTTGAAAAGTTGAAGGTTGTATGAGTCAGGAAAACATGAAGATGGGAGAGAGTTCCAAAGGATTGAAGTGCAGGGAAAAAAACTAGATGAATAAAAGTTTTTAGAGCATGCAGGGACAGATACAGTAAACGAATGAGACTTAGCTGAATGACGAGTAAAACGAGAATGAATTTTAGTTGATGGAACTAGAGATGATAACTCCTTTGAGCAGTGACCATGATAGTATCTGTAGAAAAGAGAAAGAGATGCAACTTTACGACGATGGGAAAGAGGTTCAAGCTTAGCAGATAGTCCAGGTCCAACAACATTTACAATGCGATTTTGGACCTTGTCAAGAAGAGAAAGTGAATGGTTAGAAGAACCAGCCCAAATATGACAACAGTATTCTATACAGGGACGAATAAGAGATTTGTAGAGGTAGAGAATGGAATCAGAAGTAAGGAAATGGCAAGCACGATAAAGAGAAGCAACCTTAGCAGAAGCTAATTTAGCAATCGATTGTATATATGGTTTCCATGAAAGGTCAGTAGTAAGCGATAATCCAAGAAGACGTAAAGACGAGGACTCAGTAAGAGGATGTTGACCATATTACGGTAGTTGTTTGCAGTAAGCAACTGGGTTTTTTTAGAGTTGAAATTCACAAGCCACTGTGAACCCCAATCTATTACTGAAATGATATCGGATTCAAGATCAGCTGCTTGTTCTAGGCGATCGAAAAGAGAAGACTTTTTGTCAAGACAGGAGTATAAAGTTGAGTCATCAGCAAAAAGAGCTACTTTAGATGAATGGTTGTCAGGAAGATCGTTTATGTAGATAAGAAACAAAACAGGGCCCAGGATGGAACCTTGGGGAACCCCAGAAGTTACTGGAAATAAAGAAGAGTGTTGGCCTTCAAGGATGACTTTAATAAACCGGTTAGAAAGAAATGATTTGATAATCTCAAAAACTTTCCCAGAAATACCATATGAAGTAAGCTTATGGAGAAGACCAGCATGCCAAACTTTGTCGAAAGCTTTAGATATGTCGAGAGCAATAGCCAGAGCCTCACCGCCTCCATCTAATGCACAATAAAATCTTTCAGTTACAGCAGTTAACAAGTCAGCCGTAGAGCGAGAGGATCGAAAACCGTATTGATTGTCTGACAGTAGTTTATTTGACTGAAGATGAGATGTGAGGAATTTGTTAATCAAAGACTCAAAGACCTTGCTAATAACAGAAAGAAGACTGATCGGACGATAATTGGAGGGGTCAGAATTTTCTCCAGAGTTTTTGAACATGGGAACTACAGATGCCATTTTCCAACAAGCAGGAAAACAAGACTCAGTCAAACACTTGTTAAATAGTTTAGAGAGAATTGAAGAAAGTTCTGGAAAACAATTCTGCAAGACTGTGACAGGAATGTTGTCTGGACCACAAGCTGTAGACGAGTTTAATTGAGATATGACTTTAGCAACAGAAGCCGGAGTGATTTGAATGTCTAACAATGTCTAACAAATAGCCGTTTGTTAAGAACAGTTTGAGGTAGAAAACATTGTCTTATAGAGGGTAAAAAGTTAAAAGCCAAAGCTTTAGAGTGTCTTTAAACTTTAATTATAAAGTATTTATTTTTTAAACTTTAATTATAAAGTATTTATTTTTGAAATTATTGTGGAAATGATAAATCTTTTTAATGTAATGATAAATACAAAACAATTTATTTCAAAACTGAAAAAATCTATTATAAAAATCTACCTCTATTAAAATTAGATTACTAAAGCAATTATTTAAATATAGTGAAAAATGTAAAACATTAATAAATAGCAAAAGCTTTGCCACAGCAAAGTAAGCAAGAATAACAGGTCTTAACGCCTTAATAAAAAAAATATTCAAATACATATATTTAGGATGCAGAAAAAAATTTTTTCTACTCGGTAATTCTCCAGGTTTTGCTAAAAGTTTTCTCTCTACCAAAATTGAATTGAAATGTTTTACATTACATTTTGTTTTTCATTATTTATTAACTACCTGATTTTATCATCAAAAGCCGAAGCTTGAACTTATTCAAAACTCGCATTAATAAATATCTAGAGCTATATGATTTGTAATTTATAATTTAATTTTATTTACCTAGAAAAACTAAATGCAAATGGTGTCAAAGTACAATGAAATTCAGTTTTTCTCGTAGTTTTCGAACTTTACAGCTTTATTTATATAAATATATTTAATTGGGTGCTTAATTTAAAACTAAACATGGCACCAATTTAAAATCAAAACTTTTTACAACAAGACATAGCCCCAAACTTCAACCCAAGCATTGGGTGCTTGGAAATTCTATTAAAATTTTTTAGTAAAGTTAATATAGTTAAAAGTTATACTAATAAATGAGGAGGAGATAGACATTAGACTAAAATTTTGAAATAAATGATAGTATTATGCAGTAAAAACCAATTTTATGCTTTTTTATTTTTTTTTCCAGGGTAATTCAGAAAGCAAAAGTTATGTAAAGCCAACGAAAAGTCTTCCTGTTGAAGACTCTTTATTATCGTTTGTTCTGTTATTTCCCGGAGTTGGCGAAAAGAAAGCTATTGAGCTCTTAAAGACTTTTAAAAGTATTTCACGTTATTTTTGCTTTAGTTTTCTTAATTTAAATTATTTATTTTAACTGTTTTTTAATTTGTATAGGTTTGTCAGCCATCATTAACGCACCGTTAAATGTAAGCTTAAAATTTAGACTTTTATTTCTAGATTTTTGATTAAAGTTATTAATACTTTTGTAAGAATAATAAATTTATATTAATGTTAATTTCAGGATCTTGCAAAAGTTGTTGGAAATTCAACAGCTGAAACAATAAAATTTGCTTTGCTTGAAGAAGGATGAATCATAGCTGATGACATCATAGACATCATAGCTGATGTCTATTTGTTTTAGTTAGAAATATGATTATCTTGTAATCAAAACGTCGAGGACAAAAAAAAAACGTAGCAGCTACAGTGATAAAATAACGTTTTTTTAAACATCTACAAAATTAATTAGCAAGCATTAAAAAATGCGGTTTTTTCACATTTAAAACATGGGATTCTTTGAAGTGGTGGTATATCTCTATAAGCGAGGCGTTTCTTTCAATTTTTTGAAATGTTAACTTTAATAAAAACCTTTATATATATATATATATATATATATATATATATATATATATATATATATATATATATATATATATATATATATATATATATATATATATATATATATATATATATATATATATATATATATATATATATATATATGTATATATAAAGTAACAGAAGTTAACCTGAGAATTTTTTACTTCTATGACATAGTGTAACACATTTTTTAAATTTTCAAGCATGTATTGTTTTATGATGTCTTCTGTATTAAAAGTTTTTATAAAATTTACTTCTATATATATTTTTCGTATAATATTTAATTCTAGCTGACTTCTTAACCTGAAAACAAATAAATAAAGTAAGGGGGATTCTATTTAAACATTTTTTTAAAAATTTCTGTTAAAGATTTACGTAAAGATGTACATATTTAAATATTCCATTATATTAATACTTTTAAATGTGATAATTTAGTAAAGTTAAAGAGATAATCTCAAAATGCTTTCACAGAAAAGTTTATCTTAAAAACTATTAAAAATACAACTGGTTGAATCAAACTTGTATAATTGTTTATATAAAAACACCTAAGTATTGGCTACATCATTTTCTTCATCTTTTTCTACATACAGTAAATCCCGTGAAATGTAGCAAATGATAAAGTGCAGTGTTGCCCCAACGTTCTGCAGGAACATTGATTCGAACACGAAATTTTACCCCTAAAATATTCTCTGAAACTGCGTTTTCATCCTTACCGATGACGGTTTCTTTTACTGTCCGTTGCTATTGGTGAGTACATAATACCATTTAATTTTAATCCCCAATTAAGCAGGCCAATGTCATTGTTACTTAGACATCTTCAAAAATGCACATGATGGTATACTCTTAATAGTATAGCCGTAGTATGCGGCTCTAGAAGAAGGCAGAATAGCAGAAGTGTCAATGTAAGCCCGATCTCATCGACACTTCTTTCTTCGTAATTGATGTTGCAGAATGTAACAGCTGAATGAAATAAATTTTGAGCCACTTACAATCTTGTTAGGCTATCATCGTCATAAAATTATTAGCTACAGCGTACAAATTTTTGGTTTCAAGCGTTCTAAAAACTGAGGTCTTTTAGAAGTTGTATATGGCTTATGTCGTATCTTCTGGCCCCTTTTGGCCTTCTAGTATTCAAATTTAACAGCGGTTTAAAACTTTTAATTGTTGCGCTATGGCTTTTATAATGTATTCTTTTGTATTTAAACAAGCATCTCGCGTTATTTAATGTAAAAAAGTATAGATTTTAAAACACCTTTAGTCTGCATTTTAAGCTTGCAAATACAGGTATAATATCTTTTAGGTCAATGGAATCAAATACCCGGTTTTCTATTTGAACAATAGAATGATCTGAAAGACACTCCTGAAAAAAAGCTCCAAAATTCGTTCAATATTAATCGAAGACATTCGTTCAATAATTGAAAGTTAAGATCAGTAGGATATCGGTCAACACGTTTTTGTGCACTGAAAGTAATCTCTGAGATATCTATGCTGCGGAGATTCACAAGAAAACCAAACGGAGAATTCAATCAAGTTTAGGCTTTCTTTCTTTTATCTAGATCACTCGTTAGTTTTTCCGTGATCTTATTAACGTTGGTAACCATTTAATATCGCCCAGAAAACACTGTAGTTTCAACACTGTTAGTCTCATCATTGTAATGCCTCTTGCATGCTCTTGGGAGCTTTTGAAGATATACATATTCATCCGTGTTAACTAAAGATACGGCTTTCATTTCATATTGCTCGAAATTAGAGCGAAATTCCTACACGTAATGCTCTAGGGAGTTGTACAGTTCTTCAACCATACCTAGATCAAGCTTTACGAACTGCAGTTTCTAGTTAACTTTGTTGAACTTTTTCATGATTTTGTTTCGAATGATTATTAAAATAGCTGTCTCAAGTTGTTCCATTTTAGCCGAAAGGCCGAAGGCCTCTGCTCTTAGTTTTGCTTTTTGATTGTCGTTAAGATCAAAAGCCTATTTAGAAAATATTTGTTAATAAGTGTGCACAATCAGAAATAAAAGATGTTTTTATTTGATTTTCTAAATAAGTCACTTTATAAATAGAATCAATGACTAAATAAGCACAAGCACAAGCTGACCAACGAGTTTGTGAGAGAGTCTAGTGAACCTTAACGCATCGATGTTTTAAAGTCAAAGTTCTTTGCATGAAGAAATGAACGAAGTCAAAATTCCTTGTTGGAATACATGTTATTCTAACAAGGAACTTTGACTTTATTGTATGACTGGTCACGGCAATTTTGAAAGTTGATCGCATACTAATCTAACTTTTTCAAAACAATTTGAAACATGGAAACTGCAAAATGATATATATAGCCAAAACAAAATGGATTTTTTTCCACCCGCTCTCCAAAAAACGTTTTCTACCTCCAAATCTACCAAAAGTTCCTATTGACCATATTGAAATTAAAAGAGATTCTGTAACTAAATACCAGGGGGTTTTCATTGACGAGAACATCACATAGAAACATCATATTAACTATGTTTGCTCGAAAGTTTCAAAAAGTATCGGAATTTTATATAAGACGCATACTCATTTAGATAAAAAAAGCTTTAACTAAACTTTATTACTCTTTTATCCACAGTTATGTAAGTTATGGAGTTATTGCCTGGGGTAGCACTGATCAAAGAAAGTTACAATGTCTCTATTGCCGTCAGAAACATGCGATCCGTTAAATTAATTCTGCGGATCGGTTCGTACATTCCTCAATATTTTTTAATCAAATGAAAATCCTAGATATATATAAACTAAACGTATATAAAAATTTATCTTTTGTCTATATGTGGAAGCATGATTTATCTCCTTTAATTTTTAAAGATCTTTTTATTTTTAAACCATTTAGCAAGTTTAACATGAGGAATAATTATTATTTAAATGAACCATTCTGTCGAACAAAATTCAATCAATTTTCTATCACTTAACGTGCAGCTCATTTCTGGAACAAAATTATTTTGCCTAACTTTGACTTATTCCTAACTTATCCTGCTTTTAAAAATAAAATTAAAAGACCACATTCTTTCTATTGAAAATATCTTAAAATATTTTAAATTTATCTTGTGATAAAAGACAAAATAATAATAATTTTTATTGTCATGTATGTTCAAGTTTTGTTTTATACTTGTTTACAATTTATTTTCATTTATGTAAATACGATTTATTGTTTCTATATGATTTTTTACGTACTCTTATTGTAAAAAGGCGTTTTTATAATATGTTACGTACTCTCTTTTGTAAAGGGAGTACGTAACATATAATAAAAACGGCTTCTGACAATAAGATCATTGTGATCTTCTTTTAGAAGCCTTGTTTGTATTTGAAAAATATGTAATTTATATATATTACGTCAAATGTAAACAAACAAAAAAAACTAAAAAAAAAAAAGATTATGCATGAGAATGAATGCTAAGAACTGCTCAACTGGTTGTCCGTTTTTGTACACATCGGGTGTAAAATCAACGATGATTGAGAAATATTTCGCAAGTTTGATTTCTCTAACTTGGAAATTATGTTTGAAGTTAATAAAAATATACTATAACATGTTACTTAAGGATGATATTACCTATAAATTCCATAACCTCGGCGGCTTTTAAGAATATGATTTCTTCACAAATGTCTTTAGATAAGTACGAGGTACAATTCTTTCTTTTATTTCCATGAGTTATCAAGTGTTGGACGAGGAAAGGATTAAATTTTACTAATAGCTCAATACATCCAGGGGTTATAGTAGGGGAATGCCGGGGAACGCCGTTCCTCTTTAGCCGACAAATCAAGAAATTGTTCCGCTTCGCTCAATATTTCTTTGCAACCGTTCCACCTCGTTTTTGAGTTGTTTTTTTTTTTTTTTTACAATGGAATTGTCCATAAATAATGTAACGCCTAATTTATCTTTTTAAAGTAGTAGATTATTTTCACTTTACGAACTAATTTTTATTGAAATTAAATTATTTGATTTTTTGATGAAATTTTTAAGTAATATTAAGTAGTGTTAGTCATCACGTGACATCTCGAAATACAGAAAAAAATAACATAAATATCAATAATATCGTTATTGCAAAGATTAAAAATGTCTGGTATATTTTTAATTTTTGCAATAACGATATCTATCTTTGAGTTCCTCTCATGTATTTAAAGTCAAAGATAGAGACTGATAATTTTTTCAAATTAAATATCTCACTTAAATGTTCTGGTTCCTTGAACCGTAGCCTACCTGCACGTGGCCTACGTGCACGTGTCCAGTGTGTCCGTTGGTTAAACCGGCACTGCATGTACCGCATCTCTTTTTTATCTCTCTTCTGTTATCTAAACTTTTAAATTTTTCATTTTATACATATCTTATGAATAATACTTATGTTCTATTTAACTAATATACTATTTATTATTAATATATATTTTTTATTTAAAAAAAAAAAAAAAGAATTTGTGGAGATTTCAAACTTTATCACTGATGTTTATTACCGAACCTGTCACTGATTTTTATTGTAACAGTAATTTATACACGGCTATTACATCTATATGGAGATTATTGCAAAGTTATGCGTATTGGAAATAACTATAAAAACACTTGTTTTAATTTGAAATATTGTTAAAACTCGTACACAAGCAACCAAAACAGCTTTATCAGACAACGCAATAGTCGTTTAATTAAAAACTGCTTTCATAAGCTGTAATGCTCGTGAACTTATTTGCTATTTAAGTCGTTTATTTATGTATTTGACTTCAACTCAGAAGTAAAAACAACCACATGCACACACAAAAAAAACCATATGAGCTTTGCTATCACTTATTCAAGCTTCTAACTAGAACAACTTTTCTTAGCATGTAGATGTTAAAAGGTAAATATATTCATGCAAAATAATTAAGTTTAAAAAATGCTTAACACTTTTTTCCAAATTAATATACTAGTCTATTATGTTAAAGGGATATTTAACAATCCGTTTTAAATAAATATATTTTTTGGGTCATAATTAAAAAATTTTAAACGGCTCAAATACATTTTCTGTATGCTTTTTCTTAATGATGCTGCATATGAGAAAGAAAAAACTTTTATATTATTTTGAAAATGAGTAAGGTTTTATTATGTGCATATGTTTTAGTTTTAAACATAGCCCAGCTTTCTTCATTACAGGCAACTTTGTCACCAGGTACTTTAGTTTTATGCACTGAACATTATTATTACTGTTACTATTATATCAAAAATTTTTTCTAATATAACAATATTTTTTTAAATATTTGTAAACACTAAGCAATAAAATATGTATATTTTTTAAATGTACTGTGCAAATAAAATTATTTACTAAAGCATCATTATTAGGCTGAGTTTTGCTGAACGTGCTAATGTTGTCAAAATCTAAGTGCTAACAAAACATCTGACGCTAACTCAGGTTGCTTGATACAACATAATACTCGTTTGCTCTTGACACAAACAAATCGTCGCCTAAGAATTTTAGGGTTCTATCTGATTGTTTGTGTTAAAAGAGTATAACAATTAAGTTTTAATAAATAATAGTAAAAACAATTAACTTAAAAAATTATTTGAATAATAATATGTAATTAATAAATATATATAAAGTATAAAGTTATAACAAAAATATAGCTTTATACTTTATAAATCTTTATATAGTTATAAAGAAAACCAATAAAACATTTTAACAACTTGATATCGAAAGTTACAACATTAAAAAGGCAGATAGAACCCTTAAATTTTAAAAATATGATTAAAAGTACAAAAATATTTCAACGTCTCCCCTTCCCCTATCCCCCCCCCCCTCCTGGATCCATCACTGAAATAAGCCGCTTGATAGGATAGTGTAAAAATCGTTGCAAATGAAAAATCGTTGCAAAAGAAACAGCGTTTGATAAACGTGTTTTTGTTTTTAATATTATTATATAATAAAGAGATTATTAAATTATTTTAAATAAAAAATCTTATTTGAGTTCAAAGTTTTTATAATTTGTTTTTAGAATAAAACCAAAAATTCAACCAACGAGAAAAACAAAAAAACAAACAAAAAAACAAAACGAAAATGTCGTTGTTAAAAAATATGTATTTTAAAATAAAAATGAAATAAAATCATTAAAAGCCATTTATTTTTATATTATTACTACATATTGGTCATTTTGAAGGTAACCCCTTGTTACGTAGTACTACTTGTAAATCTTCTATTAATCAGTTTATATTTGTAATATTTTTTACGACCTGTAGCTTCCTCGGCTTGCTATCTGATACTATCAATATATTAATTTACGGGTAGATTAAAGTAATGATATTAATACAATATTTTACTTGTAATTTGCCAATTTTTTGTTGCTCGTTACTCTATTATAAAGGAAATATAAAATATCTCAATTGAGTTTTAAAAAAAGTATACTTGAAATAACGTAATTGAAAGTTGAATAGGGTAATAAAATACTTTAAATGAATTTTGAGCTAAGTTGGAATGAAATATATTTCATGCCTACCTTATTCAATACATACCCAACACCCACTTGCAGCATACTGCAATTGAGTGTTGGATAGAGCTAACATGAAAAATTAGGTCGAGTCATAAATAGCGTCCACCTAAGTAGTATGAACCTTTTATTATTGTTTGCACATAATGGGGCATTGCAGGTTTTTTTTTTTGCTCTGTCAGTCTTTAGACAGCTTTTTTTCGGCGCGCACATTAACATTTTTTTAGCTTAATAATGAATAATCAAAAAAACACTTTCGACATGTGAATTTAAACAAGTCGATAGTGCTACAGCTCAAAAGCTGTGTGTATGGTGAAGACTTGATAACTGATTGTGCAGTAAGAAATTAGTTTGTCCGATTCCGTTCCGGACACACGACCTTGAACGACGAGCCAAGGATGGATTGTTCTTCTGACTTTCATGACGGTATTTTGAAAACAGTTTTGAAAGGAAACCCATGTCAGTCAACTAGAGAGTTGACATAGAAGTTAAATACATCCAAATAAACTATTTGCCCTTTTAAATAAGATTATTGCTGGTGACGAAAAGTAGATAACATCTGAGAACATTGTCCGTAAAAGTCAGTGGCTGAATATAAATCAACCCCTTCAATCAGATCCTAAAGCAAGCATCTACGGCGAGAAAATTTTTTGTGTGTATCGTGGGATTGCCAAGGGATAATTAACCATGAGCTGTTAAATATTTTAAATAATTTTTGTTAATTTCTGTTAAATTGTTAATTGCTGTTAAATATTTTAAATATTAAAAATAATTCGCAAAGGAAACTATCGAGAGTCGCAAAAAGTTATGGGAAGAAGTCAAACGTCTACGCGGTGAAGGAAAGTACGCCATTATCAAGTATGATAAAATTTTTTGTAGAGAATTTAAAAATCCCATCCCTAACTTTAAGTCCTAAAAAGAAGCCTTTCTAAAAGTAAATGCTCAAATAAAATTATCTTTAAAAAAAAAAAGCATGGCTGGAATCAGTGACTTTGAATCCATGCGTTTTAACTTTAATGAAATAAATGATGTAAATATAGACCCCGATATAAACTATTCCTACGAGGCGCTTACGGATTGCTCATATCACTTTCCAAGCGGTTTAGAAGGGTTTCTTTTTAAAAATGTTTATGACAAATGTTTAAATAAAATTATGATACTACACGTAAACATTTGAAGTCTTAAGAACAATTTTGAAAAACTTTTAAACTTGTTAGAGGAAACAAAAAATCGTTTTAACATAGTTTGTTTAACTGAAACCTGGATTTCAAATAACATAGATAATACTTTGAACTTTTATATTCCTCATTTTAAATTAATGTCGTTTAAAAGACAAGTAAATAAACGCGGCGGAGGAGTCCTTATATATGTGAATGAAAATATTGTTTATTACGTTAGGAATGATTTAAGTGCTTCTGATAGCGATAAAGAAATTTTGACTTTTGAAATTATGAACAATCAATCTAAAAACATATTATTAAGCTGTTGTTATCGCACACCTGACGGCGTGAGCGAGAACTTGAGCATTTTTTTTGAACAAAGTATTTTCAATAAAGGTATTAAAGAAAACAAGAAGAACTTCATTATTGGAGACCTAAATATGAATTGTTTTCTTTATAATGAAGATAAAAAAATTAAAAACTTTTACGACTCCTTTTTTGAGGCGGGAGCAATTCCTTTAATAAACAGGCCAACTAGAGTAACAAAAAACTCGGCGTCTTTGATTAATAATATTATTACAACAGATATATTCAACAATGATATTCAAACAGGTATCCTAAAATCTGATATAACTGACCATTTTCCAATATTCTTGACAATTAATTCTGAAATTAAAAATAAAATAAACAAAATTAAAATTCGCATTTTTAACCATACAAATATAAAGTTGTTTAAAAACCAACTATCGTTACTGCACTGGAAGCATATTAACTTCAATGACAATGCAGACAAAATTTATGATAACTTTTATGAAACCTTTTACTCCGTTTATAACGCAAACTTTCCTATTATTGAAAAGACAATATCTCCAAAATATAAAAATAACCCCTGGATAACAAAAGGATTTAAAAAATCATCCAAGATTAAACAGAAGCTGTATATAAAATATCTTAAAACAAAATCATTAGATAATGAGAAAATATGTAAAAATTACAAATATCTCTTTAAAAAAGTTTGTAAAAACTTGAAAAAAAATTATTACACAAGACTCCTAGATTAATTCAAAAATAACACAAAACGCAATTGGCAAATAATGAACGAAATTACTGGCAGACAAAAAAAAATGCTCAGGTTCTCTTCCCCAGATGGTTATAGTGGATAACAAACGCATATGCGAACCAAAAGCTATAGCTCATGAGTTTAATAAATTCTTCACTGACATTGGTCCTAAACTAGCAAATAAAATTCCTTATACCAAAGCAACATTTAATGATTTTCTAGTACAGATGGATAATTGCATTAGTTCCAACGAATTATATTCTGAGCTAACTTTTCATGAATTCGAAAAAGCATTCAAATCCCTTAAAAAAAACAAAGCAAACGGAGCAGATGACATAAACGGTAATATAGTTATAGAATGTTTTGAACAATTAAAAGATATACTTTTTAAGGTTTATGGAGCATCTATTCACCAAGGAGTTTTTCCGGATCAATTAAAAATTGCTAAAATTACCCCAATTTTAAAAGAGGGAGATCAAACAAATATCAGTAATTATCGTCCTATCTTCGTCCTCTTCCCATTCTCAAAAATACTAGAACGCATTATGTATAATAGATTATACAGTTATCTCCTTTCTAATAATTTGTTATACGCCAACCAGTTTGGTTTTAATAAAAATAATTCGATGGAACATGCAGTTATCCAACTTGTACGTGAAATTTCAAATTCTTTTGAAAAATCTAAATTTACATTAGGTGTTTTTACCGACCTATCGAAGGCGTTCGATACTGTAGATCATGAAATTTTGATACCAAAACTGAAATACTATGGAATAAATTACAAAGTTATGAAATGGTTCCGAAGTTATTTATCTAACCGTAAACAATTTGTTTTTAGTAATAGTTGTTATCCAAATGAGTTCCTAAATGTTTCATGTGGCGTTCCCCAAGGTTCCATTTTGGGACCACTGTTGTTCTTGATTTATATAAACGACCTAAATAAAGCCTCAAATTTAATGAGTATAATGTTTGCTGATGACACCAACTTATTTCTTTCCAATAATGATATTTACAAACTCTTTTCTAGTATGAACGATGAACTTAAAAACATATCAAAATGGTTTATATGCAATAAGCTCTTAACAGTAACAAAACAAAATGGATTCTCTTCCATCCAATCGCAAAAAAACCTTATTTACCCCAAAATTTACCAGAAATCTTTATTGATAATACTGTGATAAAAAGACACTATGTCACAAGGTTTTTGGGTGTTTTTCATGATGAAAACATCACATGGAAAGCGCATATTGACTATATTAGCACAAAAATTTCTAAAAGCATTGGAATTTTATATAAATCGAGAACATATCTATGTAAAAAAGATTTAACCCAACTATACTACACATTTATTCATACCTATTTAAATTATGCAAGTATTGCTTGGGGAAGCACAGAAAAGAGCAAATTACAATGTCTTTACCGCCGTCAGAAGCATGCGATCCGTTTAATTAATTTTGCGGATCGATACACTCATTCCAAACCTTTTTTTATTGAAATGAAAATTCTTAATATTTACGAACTTAATGTGTTTAATGTTTTATTTAAAGTATTGTATTACGACAAATGTAAACTTAAAATGTAAAAAAAAAAAAAAAAAAAAAAAAAATAGAAATGAAACGGTAACTTTTTACGTGTACGTTCAGTAGCTTTTATAAGTCCAAAAAAAAAATGGTTGGAAAATTGCCATGCACTCGTCAACCGTAAGAACATCAATTTTATGATAATGCAAGACTACGTACAGCATGAGTGACTTAAAAAAAAATTGTTTGAACTTGGTTGGTTTGTTTTGCTGCATCTTCCTTACTCTCCAGACGGACTACTACCTTTTCTGTTCCTTACAGAACTTTTTGAATGGAAAAATCTTTACTTCAGAACAGTAGGTAAATGAGGCGTTGAGGTCTTTTTGTGCGGAAATGACAAAGCAAAAGTTTATTGGGGTTAATTGCAGTGTAGATGAAATACAGTTTTGTTTATGACTTAAAGTACTTTGATTGAAGATTGGATAATGTTAATAGGTTTTTGTCGTACTTGTTTTCTGGTCGATGGTATAACATATTGCAATTGTTATCGACATAGCTTTAACATTAATATAACATTTAACATAACACATAATATGTGATATTGTCAACAAGAGGATGGAAACTAATATTTAATAAAAACTTTTCGGTAATTTACAGGTATACAGGTATTTACACATATCATTTAATAAAAACTTTCCGATAATTTACAGGTATACAGGTATTTACACATATCATTTACCGAATTACCAATAATTGAAAAAGTCGATAAATTTACAAATTCTACTTAACTTCTAATTTTTCCCAAGTTTAATAGAGTTTATAGTCATATATATATATATATATATATATATATATATATATATATATATATATATATATATATATATATATATATATATATATATATATATATATATATATATATATATATATATATATATATATATATATATATATATATATATATATATATATATATATATATAGTCTTTATTGATGAAACACTGTGTAAAAAAAAAAAAAAATTGAAGACCGAAAAGTTCCAAGTTCAATTACCACCAACACGTATTACCGAGTTTAACTTGTTTTTCTAAGCAACGGCCTTCTTTGTTAAGGTTTGTGCTTCGAAATGAAGCACAAACCTTAACAAAGAAGGCCGCTTTAAAAAATAAAGAGTTGCGAGAGAGTTGTAAACACAATAAAGTAGCCTCCTTGAAAGTAGTGGCCCTCTTAGCTTTGTGGAGATGAATAACATAAAATAAAAATAAGTATATACTGGTTTATTTAATGTTTATTACATTTATCCAAGGACGTACAAAGAGTTTGACGTATTTGTTATAGATCATAGGCGCCGCCAATTACTGGAATATTTTATACAAGTTGTAATTTTTAGCGTTTTTCAAAATAAACAGATTTTTTTGATTTGATTCAAAATTATCGGTTTATTTTGAAAATTTTTTAGTTAGCAACTGCTAACTGCTTTCAGTAAACACTGTAAAATCCGTAAAACACTAATTTTCGGAAAAATAAAAACATTTTATATATTTAAGAATGCCTTATGTGTTTGAAAATGCCTTCATTGAAATGCTTTTAACAATAAATTGTCTAATAATAACTTATTTGTAAAAAAAACTTTGACGTCAAAATTCATGTTTTTGTAAAAATTCAATATATGGTATACTAATATGAATATTGTTACGTATATTTATTCACTTTCGAAATTCTTTTTAAACTATTTCATCTGGGTTTCCCCACTTTTTTAGTGTCTTTTTATTATTTAGAACAGCAGCTATATGGCTAATGGATCCAAACTATAATATAGAGAAGTTTAAAATATAGAAGCATGAATTTAAAAAACCCTTTTTTTTCTCCAGATGTTCTTAATATTTTAATGTTTCAAAATTTAAAGATTGCTTTAGACTAAAGCAATCTTTAAAATTCTTTATTTTAAACTAAAGTAACTAATCTAAAGTTTAGATTAATTAATCTCATCAATATCAAAAGTCCCTTGTTTTGCTCATTGTTGATTTATTCCTTATTTAGTTTTATTTCTAAGTTTAATTTCTAGAATACAATAAGAAATGTATATATAGAAACATTTAAAGTGACCATTAACATATTTGAAAATCATCCTAATTTACCTATTGAAAAAAAAGAAACAAGTATTAATTCAAGTTTAGGGCTAATTCTGATGCATTGGTATTAGTCAAAGTAGGGATTGGTGCACCCCTAATATATATCTATAAACAACGTTAAAATGAGATTTTTCATCATTTTTATATTTAACAAATCATTCAACAAAGCATCCAATTAAATATCCAACAAATCTGTGAACAACTACTATTTATGTCGGAAGTAAAGTATATTAAAAGAAAAGCAAAGAAGAGGTTTAAATCTTGCTTTTTGAATATTTAAAAAGCAAAAAAATTGATCAACAGAAAGCTGAAATTGTATGAGTCAGGATAGTCTTTCCTGACTCATTTTCAGCTTACCTTCCTTCTTTCTTTCTAAAGAAATGACAGTGGGGAAGAGTTAAAGCATTATTGCTTGAGGGAGAAAAAAAAGATAAATAAACGTTTTTTGAGATAAAATAGATTTTATCTCAAAAATACTTTAGTTTTGGTTTAAATTATTAAATAGAATCGTAATTAAGAAGAGATAAAACAAGTATAAGAAATTGTTGGATTATGTGATGGCATCACCAGCAAACATGTCCTATTGGGGTCCATATGGGTTTGCCCAAGTGAGCCCTATGTGGGCTTTATGTATGGGCCTCAAATGGGCCCCAAGTGGGCTAGCCCTTGAAAACAAAGTTTTGTGTTCAAGGGCTAGCCCTTATGGGGTCTATTTTGGGCCCATATATGTAGTTAAAAAAGTTAAAATTTTGTATTCAAGGGCTAGCCCATATGAAGCCCATTTAGGGCCCATATATGAAGTTAAAAAAGCGTAAAATTCCATCTTATTTTCTAAATTTAAATGCCATCCAATCTTGCGATCTTGCGATGGTATGAGGTACTCTGCTAGGCAATTAGCTGGAAGAGGATAAATCACAATACTGAACTTACTTTATGAAAACTCCTTTACATGTCTCAAATGTAATTACGTCTCAAAGCTTTTCTCAAATTTTAAACTAAATAAAATTAACTCTTTTTTGAAATTTTTTTATTTAAAGTCAAATTAATAATTAAATATTTTAAAGACTCCGTAATGATGCTATCAATGTCATGTATTAGTGGTAGTAAAAGAGTTTTAAATTGTATTTGAAAATTATTTTTTTTATGTATAAAAAGTGACAATTTTCCTTGGGCGGGATGTGGGCAACCCATTTGGGCCCCATAAAGCTGCCCACTTGGGCCCCATGTGGGGCCTAATATGGCTTGCTGGCTAAGTTCCTGATTTACTTCTATTATGCTAGATTCACATGACATTTATGACTACATATTAAATTATGTGCATCTAATTTAAAAATAAATAATTATTCAAAATATTATTAAAAAATTTAAATAAATAAAAAAGTGGGACCCATGTGGATCAAATATTGGGCCCCAATTCATGCCCAGCAACAGTTTTCCTTGGGTGGGATGTGGGCAACCCATTTGGGCCCCATAAAGCTGCTTACTTGGGCCCCATGTGGGGCCCAATATGACTTGCTGGCTAGGATTTAACATCACTAAACATACCCATTAAATCATTACTATCTATATTGTGAAGTCTTGCACTTCCAGTCTCTTTTGCTGACTTGAGCATAGGTAGTTCTCAAGCCCTCAGCAATTAGCTATGCAATTAGCATGTTTCTGTTGATTAACGCAAAGTCATAACAAAAAGCTAGATACAGTTTATATCTGCCCAAGATAAGCATCTATATTGTGACCACTTTACTAAAGCTGCCTTACTACAAAAGTTTAATTAAGCATAACATTATTGAATAACCTAAATCTTGTTAACAAAAGAAATTATAAACCCAGGGTCAGAATAGTTTTCGAGGTGCAACAAGTAAACTTGGTTTAATACCTTTATTTAGGTAAATACATTGAGGACCAAAAAGAATTAAAAAAACTAACCAAGAGATTTGTTTAAGCAGTATCCTAAACAAATCCATTTTTACTGCTTTTTTTGAAATAATACAGGTTTTTCTTTAAAGTTTTTTGAAATGAATTTGTAGGGGCTTTTAGCATCTGATACTTTGGGTGGTATCCAGTTTTCTTATTCAATTAGTCCAATACTCTGTGTCTTATATAAAATAATATAAAAAATAGCTTTTTACTGTTAATATAAATAAATACCATTCTCAATCTCTTAAATTTATTTTTCATAATAAATAGACTAAATTTTTTATAAGAAATAGATTTTTAAATGACTATTAAATTTTGCTACTTTAGTTACCTCATGTGAAAATAACCTTGATATTATACTGCTTTTCGATTCTTCTGAAAGCGTTCAAGATGTATGGAGTTCAACAATTGATCATGCAGAAGCATTTGAATATAACTTTGTTATAAGCAATCAGCATAGTCGTTTTGGTATTATTGATTACAGTATAATTGCAAATGTTTATAAACACCTAGATAGCAATAATAGTAATGAAGAAACATACCAGATTTTAGAAGAATTAAGAAAACGACCTCAAAAATCTCGTAGTGCATTTGAAAGAGGAGTGGGATGGGCTCTTGAGCTATTTGCAGCTGCTAAGAAGCGACAAAATCCTGGCAAGAAGCTTTTGATTGTATATACAGATGCCACATGGAGCACTGTACAAAGTTCAGTCATGGAGGTATGTTAAGTTTTATCAAGTTTTTGCGTTCTTGAAGGAAAGTTATATAACAATTTTTTTTTTTATAAGACTGATATTTTTGATGTTTTTGTTTTGTATTTTTCCATATTCTTGAATAATATAATAATTCAAAATAATAAATTATATAATATAATTGACAAAAAATTAAGTTAAAAAAATAATAAAAATCGATAAAATAATTCCATTTGATAAAAATCGTTTAAAAAAAAATATTTGCAGGGTTAGAATTAATGCGAAAAAAATTTAAGAACTAAATTCAAAAAAATATCATTTACAATTCCCCTTTACTGTTACAGATTTGCAACAAGGGAGGAAGGGGGTTGCATTGTTACAAATTTATATCTTTTGTTCAATAGCTTGTAATTGCTATTTTTAAAATATAATATCTCATGTATTTAAGCAATATCCCATAATTTGTTTGGCAGGTTTTAAAATAGCTTAAGTTACTGTTACAATTTACAGCTTAAGTTATAATTTGAAGCTTAAATTGCAGTTATAGTGTAATGTGTAGGGTTGCCAGATGTCCAGCTTTTATGGAGGAGAATATAGTGCCGAAACTGTGAAATAAAATTTTTTATTGTGTGCACCTACATAAAAGCCAGACATCTGGCAACCCTAGTAATGTGCAAGTTATGCATTTAATAATATTGCAGCATTAATTTTAGTAATTGTTTTTACTCAAAGAGATCCCAAACCACTGAGGCATATTGTGCTCATGTTAAAGAGAATGATAAAAAAAAAAACATTTGGGCTAATTTTTTTTGATAAAAACAAAAGAATAAATGCATACCATAAAAAACTAACTTTTTTATTTTAGTTAAAGCTCGTCTTCTCTGTTATGTAATAATCCAAATAGTCTTCATAATAATGCCGCAATCTACAGGCTTGATAATTTATTCAAGCAAATTTTATTCCTAAGGGTTTTAATACATGGCATCATTGATTTTTTTGTTTGTTTAAAAGATCAATCTTTAAAACAAACAAAAAAATTTGTCTGAAGATTGTGGTGTATATTATGAAGACTAATTGGCTTATTACAAAACGGAAAAGACAAGATTTGACTTTAAAAGTTAGTTTTTCTTGATATGTATTTGTTCTTTTGTTTGAATCAAAAAATTTAGCGTAAATTTTTTTTATCATTCTCTTAATATGAACACAACATGTCTCGACAGCTTGGGGTCCCTTTAACATGATACTTAAAAAAGTAAATTTAAAAAAGCAAATATTGAAACCACTTTAAACAACTAATAAAAAACTATTTAATATCTTGTTTATGCTGATTGGTGGCCTATAACTCAACTTAATTTTAAACTTTTGTAAATCATATGTTATGACGTTTTTAATTTTCAAACGACAATTTTTGACTTTTACATTTACACCTAATTAAAACCTATTTTCTTTAACATTGCGTTCTACCTGATTAGTCGTCAAACAGGTTGATCCATTGCTTGACATTCGAATCACTCCAGTTTCTGTATCAAAAGTAATTTCCTGCTTAGACTCTTTTACAGCTGGTCCAGACAACATATCTGTTGTAATCTTGCAGAAGTGTTCTCCGGAGCTGTCATCTATACTTTCAAAACTATTTAATAAGTGCTTATCAGAGCCTTGTTTTCCAGCATCCTGAAAAGCGACATCTGTTATCCCTATTTTCAAAAATTCTGGAGGGCGATCTGACTTGTCTTACTACCATCCCATTAGTCTTCTTCCTATCATAAGCAAGGTTTTAATAACACTTAATCTCTCATTTTGAATCTAATAACTTACTTTCTGATCATCAATATGGATTTCGATCTTCTCGTTCTACAGCTGATTTGCTAACAGTAATAACCGATAGGTTTTATCGTGCATTAGATAAAGGTGGTTAGGTTAAGGCCATTGCTCTCCACATTTCTAAAGCTTTTGATAAAGTTTGGCATGCTGGTCTTCTCCATCAATTTTCTTCTTACGGTGTATCTGGTAACATCTCTAAGATTATTGAATCCTTCTTTTCCAATTGTAGTATAAAAGTTGTTCTTGATGGACAGCACTCTTCTTCATATTCTGTAACTTCAGGGGTTTCTCAAAGTTTAATCCTTGGCCCTGTACTCTTTTTAATTTACATTAACGATCTTCCAGATATTCTCATATCTAGTGTGGCATTGTTCGCTGATGATACTACCATTTATTTGTGTCCTGATAAGAAGCCAACACTTTGATTGCTTGGGGGGGTGGGGGTGCATTTGAGCTTGGAATAGATCTCACTTCTGCTACAGCATGGGGCTCACAGTGGCTGGTGAACTTTAATTCAGTTAAAACTCAGGTAAATTTTTTTCAGCCAATTGTTATCGCAATAATTTAAATCTTCCTATATTTATGAACAGTAATGTACTCGATAAGTCATCTACCTTTCATCTTCTAGGATTAACTCTTACTTTTGATCAAATTCGTTGCAAAATTAGCATCTGCTAAAGTTGTTTCTCTTTATCGAGCTTGACACTTTCTTACCCTGGATTCTATTCTCTATATCTACAAATCTCAAATCCGGCTTTGTATGGAATACTGTTGCCATATCTTCTTATGATGCCCTTTCTCTTTTAGACAAGGTACATTGTAAACATAGTTGGACCTGCTCTTGCATCTAACCTTCAACCTCTGTCACATCGTTGAAATGTTGCTTCTCTTTCTCTTTTCTACAAATACTATAATAGGCACTGCTCTAAAGAGCTAGCGCCTCTTGTGCCATCTACTATAATTCATTCTCGTGTTACTCGTCATTCAATTAAGTCTCATCCTTTTTCTGTTACTGTTCCTAAGTGCTCCAAAAACTCTTATTTGTCTAGTTTTTTTTCTCGAACATCAGTTCTTTGGAATTCGCTTCCGTCATCTTGCTTTCCTGATTCATATAATTTACAATCTTTTAAGTCGTCTATCATCTTTTCTCTTCCAGTAACTTCCAACACTAATTAGTGGTTGCTTGCAGCCTTGTTGGAAGAGAAGATGTTTAAAAAAAAAAAAAAATTGCATAACACAATTAGCTTTAACTTATGAAATACATGCTCAAGAGTGTTAAAAATTTGTACCAAACTATTTTTTAGGGTGAGAAACTCAAAAATGATTTCCAAAATACTAAAAAAGTAAAGCTTCAATATGTAAATAGAAGCATCAATTTCAAAATGGTGTAAACTTTTTTTTGAATCTGATATATTTTGATTGAAAGTTTTATAACAAAAAAAACTAAAAAAAATTGTTATTTAATGAAAAAAGTTATTTACATTTTTTTGCATTTTTTTCAAAGGTTTTAGAATCTCAGGTACAGTTCTAATATAACATGTGTGCCATAAAATTTGAGACTGGCTTTAAACTTGAATAAAAACTTAAATAAACACGATAAAATAATTTTTTTTTGGTATGTTTTAGAATTAAATATGCAGAATAGGAAAAAAAAAAAAACTTATCACAAGACTCCATATCTTCGAATTTGATCAAGTCTGGTATTGGTTGCTTGTACCAGCTTTTGTACAGTATTTAGAACAATTCTACTGGCACAATAACGAATCAGACGTTCAAGTTTTGATATATTATTTGTAGACCATCCATTCTTGTACACATCTCGCTTAAGCATTGCCCAAAAATCCTCTATAGCACGAGCTTCTGGTAAGTTTGCTGGATTGTCTTTTTTTTGAGCAAATGATATCTTCTGGGTTTTTAACCATTTTGTTACCTAATTTGCATAGTGAGATGTTGTTAAATCAGGCCAAAAGATATACTTGATGTCTGAATAATATTTATTAATAAAAGGTTGCAAGCACTTTTGTAAAACACTCTTTTAATTAGATCTCTTGGTTTACCGCTTGGCCAAAAGGAACAATGTAAGTGAATGTGACCCCTCGAGGGGAGATCCATACAAGTAATTTTTTTTCAAATTTTGCAACATAATACTTAACAATGTCTGGTGTCAATTTTTGATCATTTGAATAGTATGTGTTATTACCAGCCAGTGTGCTATTCGACAAAGTAAAGTATGACTAATCACCATAATAAATTCAAGGTTGCGATATTTCAAATAAAGTCGATCACATTTTCGGCAACCCCAAAGCCTCAGTTCAGGAGTTCTGCTTGATCTTTTTTTCTTTTATAACAATAGGCTTTTTATAGCATTTAATAGGCTTTTTATAGCATTTTAAGATTTGTCCGATGGTGCTTTTGCTATAACCAAGTCTTCTAGAAGTCTTTGAAAGTGACACACCTCTTCGATTGTTTAACATTTTCCTTAATTTAATACGGTTGTTTTGTGTATTAAGAGTAGGCCTTCTTCCAATTCCAGCTTTGCAACCCAATTGTTTACTTTGATTGTAACTGTTCATATATCTATAAATTGTAGCTTTTGAGTAGCCCTCCATCTTGAAATGGTTCCAAACAATGTGTTTTCCATCTTCATGTTTTTTTTTATAAAAATTATACACACGACTTTTTAGGGCTTGCTGATTTTGATTGTAGTTATATATACCTGATGTTGATTGTAGTTGTATATACCTGATTTTTTTGCAAAATACTCACTAAAGCAATAATTATCACTTATGTTTTTAGGAGGATGTAAAGAACTTAGTTTACAACTTGCTGGGAAATTAAAAAACATTGGTATTAATTGTTCCTGGAGGAAAGATATGTCCATCATGTAAAATTAAATTGATGTCATTTAAGAATGATGGACCAGTAGAACTGACATTCAGCCAGATTTATGAAGATAAAGATAATGAAGTTACTAATGAATTGTTAAAGTAAAATCTCAATTCTTCTTTGACAGCTATGAACATAAGTCCTCAAAATGCATGGTGTGAATAGTCACTCAAGAGTTGCTCTTGGAAGTTATTACATGTTTAAAAAACAGTCAAGTTAGGTATTACAAGGACTTTAAATATAAATCCTGAACAGTTAAGCTAAGAAGATTCCTTCAATAAAATACCTAAGAAAGTTAAACGTAAAGCAAATGACATGGA